TTTTTTTTTTTTTAATGGGACAAGCCCGCCACAACCTCCCAAAACCGCTGCAACTCCTGTAAGCCAGGATCTACAGTAGATACAACCATGAAAACACCGGAACACTGAAGTCCGGCGCGTCCCAGGGACATGAGTAACTGTCTTGGTTCCCGCAACGAAGTGAATCAGAAGATATTATAAGAGGAGAAGAAGAAAAACTATGGTTTTCACTTCCCTCGGTGAATTACTGCAGGAGACAGAATGAATTAAGCCTAAAGGCACAAAGAAGAGACTGTACAACTGGGTGAAGCCCAGTCGCCAAGCACCACGGAAATTTGACTAAAAACTAAGTGGGTCCTATGTGTGAGCCTATGTTCGACAGAGGAGTTGCGATACGAGCAGTCGGCCCATCACATACTCTGGGAGTGTGATCTCTGGCAATATGAACGTAACACTATGTTGAATAATTTAATTGTTTCGTCAGGTGTAGTTTATTATACGGACCTTGTGGAATCTAGAACGAATTTCCGTGCGTTTAGGCGTTTTTGCCATACCTATTATTGGAAGCAAGTATAACAACTAATTATCTATAAGATTCAAATGACCATTTTCGACAACATCTGGCCAGGGTAACGCACACATTGGTTAGTTTCCTAAGTTTAAAATAAATTGTTTCAACTTTTGAATGAAATAAATAATTAAAGAACCTCCTCGTTTTTGGGAAGTCGGTTAAAAATATAATCATACTCTCATCCATTAATTTGCCAATTTACCTACTTTTGGATATTTAATCGCTAATTTTAAGGAAATAAATGTGCTATTTGATGTAGAAATATGATGACGTCATAAGTTGCGATCCAATACAAATTTCTTAGAAAAGTATCGTTTTTGACATTTCAATAAAAGTATTGATTTTGACTACCTGTCAACTACCGTATTACGCTGAAACTACTGAACGGATTTTGATGACATTTGGTATACAAGCAGGGTATGGGCTGACTTAGGTGATAGCATATTTTTATCTTGATTAAATGCTCCCATGGAATTAAAGTGAAGTCAAAGTCAAAATAATTTATTTCAAATAGACCAGGAAGGCACTTTTGAATGTCAAAACAAAATATTTAAATATTAAATAATAAGAAAAAATGTCAGTCTGTAGGCCAGTCCTCTAGTGAAGCTATTTGCTCGTTCCAAAGTGTAGATTCCGATGGAAAAGTATGAGCTAGAAACTCCATAGGTTACTCTTTTTCAATCATGTTCACAATACCAATTTTGGTTACATTATTTTGTTGAGTTCAATTATGTGAGAACAATGTAACACCAATATTTAGTCAAGGAGACGGAAAAAGAAAATAACCTTGAGGACAACAAATTTAATACAGTCTGGAGCTGACCAGTCCCATTTGACAGCACCCGTTCACGAACATGACACGTACACCAGCACCGCGCAACTCAACCATGTTGTAGGGAATCGAGTGATCTACTGCCCGTGCCACTGCCAATGAAACTTTTGAGTGAGCATGACAACAAAAGAATCATATCGAGGGGTAACGGACTATTTGGTTTAAGCGACATTTTGGGCGATTTTGAGTTATTATAAATATATATTCGACGGAGAAAAAATCGCTGATTCCGAATATATATATAACTCAATATCGCCCAAAATGTCGTTTAAACCAAATAGTCCGTTACCCCTCGATATTCTACTCAGAAATTGCAGCTAGTAATTACCAATTAGACATGGTATACAAAGTTGTGGATGTTATTTATTTTATTTAGCACTTAAATAAAAAGTAAATATGACTATGATTATTAATAAAAACATAACAATAATTTATTAAGAAAAGAAACACTCTGTATAAACCTACCTCATCAAACAGTTTATGCAGTCCTCTGAACTTCCAAGTATTCCGGAAGTTAGTGTTGTAGCTGAGTATGGCATTGCCCAACTCATGGCTATTGCGTATTGGTTTTGAGAGAGCATTCTCTATCATCTCCCAGCGCTTCTTGAGATGGCTCACACCATTATTCTAAAAAAGAAATTGATTGAAGTTTGATGTGATGGGCCAACATTTAGGCCACCTGGTGGTAAGTGTTGATGCGGCCTACGATGGAACATGTCTGCCCATAAGCAACCTATTCACTTGGGCTTTGAAGACAACCAGGTTATACCCTACAGGAAACACACACTCTGGTACTTTTCATCATAAAATGTATCACATCTTCAAAAAGTAAGACTACTCAAAAACCAAATTGATTACTGTGGAGCTAACTAGAAGCTTGAAAACTATTAACAATCACCACAATAATGATAAGGTGATAAAAATATGATACAAGTTCATTTTTGCAATGACATTCCACAATATCATACTTTGAATTATCAAATGGCCTTATCTATTAACTAACATGAACCAGTAATATACATTCAACAATGAGAGACATGTTAAGTAAATGTTTGTTGAAAAACATATTATTATAATAAAGCATACTATGGTCAGTAAGTATACCGATACAGAAACAGTATCTGGACAGCTAAAAAGATAGCATTTTTTAAATTTCTTTTAAGGATACTGGTGCTCTACTTACGTCCCCCACTGGGTAAAGACTCTGATCAGAACAGGGCAGCCGGACATGTTCGGAGTCCCATTTGTCCTGTCCTATCTGCGGCTTCGGTGGCCTGTCCGCAGCCACACAGCCACTACTCGGCACATGGTACAAAACTGCATGGTTGTGCGACGGCGAAACGAGCCGGAACTCCGGCGCTCCCCACGGAGATTGTGACCCATACAACTCACTTAAAGGCACTCCTCTCCAGTTATTGTCACTACCACCATCCATATCCATATTCATCGTACTTAAACACAGCGAATTTTTGATATTCTTGGCTGTAAATAACAAATGTTTACTACGTTGCAAACTGACGCAATGGATGTTTTATTGCTCTGAAAACCCACTTATTATCGTTGCACAGACTTTCAGTGATGGCTTTGAGATAAATCTCATTGAGTTTACTTGTTAATGTTATTAGTTTAACGACATTAGCTTTTCCCGCTCAGCAACATGAATGAAATGGGATTATTTTATGAATCCATGAACACACACACACTCCGTTTCAAATGAGCAGTATCGGTAATGTCAATATTGTCAATGTCAAAAGTACATCAAAGTCAACGTCAATCCTATTGCAGGGTTGCAGAACTTTATAATGTGTCTGTGATTGCCACTTTGCCACTAATTTCAATACTATTTTGCATGAGTTGGAGCGATTTGGGTAGAAATCAAGTTTTTTGAATGATGTTGCACATAGATTTTCTCAAGGTAATGAACAGCAGGCAGCAACAACAAGTTACTAAAAAATATGCAAACTAAAAACGTAAAAGTACTCGAACGAAAACTAAACGCGATTATCAAATGGATTTGTCAAAGTCAAATAAGTAAGTAAGACTGTCAAATTTTAGCGTTGGGTACTCGAATTTTTTGTTGTAGTGTTCGTAAATAAATTTCATTTTATTACAGCATTCACTGGCATTATACGTGACTTATTTTAACTCTAAATAAGTCTATTTAGTGTCAAGTATATTACGTTTTTAAATATGAATTTGGAATTACTCGGTAAGAATGTTTTAATAAAATGCTATGAACGTTGTACTGGTTGCATTGTTGTTATTGTTTACATTACAAGTTAGTGCATTACTTGTTTTTCTTTTTCAGAATCATTTGGACAGAACTATCCTGAGGTGCGTTTACATTCCTTCTAGTTTCTTAGCACAGGTTTTATGATACAAACACCTGTTGTGTAATTGCATCAGAAGATGTACTTTTTGTGCCTACCTACTTTATACGCCGGCACTATTACAAAATGCCAAGCTTTTACTAATATTACGCATCTTTTTAAACATTTACTGCAGGAAACTTTATCTTAAAAGGCTCTTACTAACTTTTTCCTTAACAAAATAATTAATTTGAAAAAACCTTTTTCCCAGGAATTTGATGGTACCCTAGACTCAATATCGTTGGCAGCAACATGCGCATTTAATAGAAGAGGCACTTTACTAGCTGTGGGCTGTAATGATGGCAGAATATTTATATGGGACTTCTTGACACGAGGTATAGCTAAATCAATATCTGCTCATGTCTATCCTGTTTGCAGTCTTAGCTGGTCGAGGAATTGTAAAAAGGTAATTTTTATTATACACTTATGAAAGTTTTAAACTGAACTTAAATTGTACTCTTAACACAGTGTCTCCCACAATTCACTCTCAAAATGTCTTTACTTCTCAGACTCATAATAATTCTGTCTTCTAACCTCCTTACAAAAAAAGTGAAGGTTTTTTTTTAATTATAATATGTGGGTAAGCAAATGTAAACATTGAATCTATGACATAATGGGTTGTTTTTGTCCACAGCTCCTTTCAGCATCAACAGACCACAATGTATGTATATGGGATGTTTTGTCTGGAGAATGTGAACAACGGTACAGGTTTCCAACACCAATATTACGTGTACAATTTGATCCGAGGAATGACAAGAGATTCTTAGTGTGTCCAATGAGACATGCAGCACTGCTGGTTGATACTGACGGGGATCACAAAATATTACCAATAGATGATGATGTATGTTGTGCATCTTTTATTCATAACTAGCTTCTGCCCGCGACTTCGTACGCGCAATCCCAATATTATTATTTCCCGGTCCCGTTCTTGATTTTCAGTAATAAGTAAAAAAAAATATTGAGTAAAATGTATCCTATGTCCGTCTCCTGGTTTTAAGCTATGTGCCTACCAATTTAGATCCAAATCGATTTAGCCATTCTTGAGTTATAAATAGTGTAACTAACACAACTTTCTTTTATATATATAGATATTTGGACATAATTTAAACTTAACATTTTTTAACCAGCATCATAATAGGTTAATTCATGCGGCTACTGAGCCACATTTGAAGAGTTCAACATTATTACAAAATGGAATCCAATATAAAATCAATATATTCGAGATACCTTAAAAAGTTTGATTCTAGTTAAAACGTTACATGAACAATTTTAAATATTGAATTCGTTGTTGAAGACAACAATAATTTTAGATTTGATATTTATGTTTTTATAATAACTATTGTGAGCCATGCTGAAATACCTACAAATTACGAATTACTTACGTAAATATACCGAGAAAAGCTCGACTAGTTTCGAGTCATAGAGGGTTGCTCTTCCTCATAAGCAGTGTACACGGTAGCGACGATGTCGCGCAGCCTACTGAGCAGTAGAAACTAGTAGAGACTTTCTCAGTATTTTTACGTGCGTAACTACTTGCGATTTTTAGTTAATTTGATATTTAATTATTTACTTGTTAATATAAATGTGTTATTTTTACAGGGTGACATAAATGTAATAGCCTCTTTTGACAGAAGAGGAGACCATGTGTACACAGGCAATGCTAAAGGAAAGATATTAATTCTAGACACTCAGTCTTTGGCTATAAAGGCTAGTTTTAAAATTACAGTTGGCACATCAAGCACCACTAGTATTAAAAGTATAGAATTTGCAAGAAGAGGAGAGTAAGTATCAAATATCTTTAAGGTTTTTTTACTTACGCGTGAGTGACTGACTGCATGCATGCATAAGTCACAGATTTAATTTTAATATTTATGTGATCAACAGATAATGGTCTAAACAAAAGATTGGGGTGTAATAAATATTTATTTATATTTCTGTTGACTGTAAAAAATTCAAAAACTAAGCATAACAATATAATTTTTAACATAACATAACATCACACCTTTTATCCCCGAAAGGGTAGGCAGAGGTGTATTTTGTATACACTTTTCGCTATTTATGTTATGAATCCAATGTAATAGGGGGTGAGCCTATTGCCATACACCTGGCACAATTCCAGACTCCGTGCTATTACTGAGAATATAGAAAAACCCAGGGAATCGAACACGAGACCCCTTGCCCGGCCCGGTCGCACTTTCGACCACTCGGCCAGCGAGGCAGTACAAATATTTTACCAGTGTTAATTAACATGTTTGTAATTACAGCTGCTTCCTAGTAAACACATCCGACCGTGTCATCCGGGTATACGACACTAACACAGTATTGAAGTGCGGTGTCAATGGGGAGCCAGAGCCTATACAAAAACTACAGGATCTTGTCAATAAGTAAGAAACATCTTTAATTATCATATTTTCATTTCATTCAATTTTACCATTAAAATATTGTTTAATAGGAGAAAGACCAACACACATCTTATATCTTATACTATTATATAAAGCGGAAGAGTTTGTTTTTTTGTTTGTTTGTTTGAACGCGCTAATCTCCGTAACTACAAGTCTGATTTGAATAATTATTTTTGTGTCGGATAGCGCATTTATCGAGGATGGCTATAGGCTATAAAATATCACGCTACGACCAATAGGAGCTGAGCAGAGCGTGTGAAACCGCGCGGAAGTAGTAGTAGTAGCTAGTGTGTATATAATATGGGGTTTAAAAAAACAACAAATCAAGCATTAAAACCACAACCATTTTTCCTATAACTAATACAGCACCTTTGGTCTGAACACAAATCATATGGGTATGTTAAGTGTCCGATACGTTTAATTTGTGTTTATACTAAACAATTGCTATTTAAATGTGAAATTTTATTTATAACCTTAGGTATTTTGAATTCAATAACTTATTAAATAATATAACTTATTCCATTAGAACAACATATTAAATAATATAACTTATTCCATTAGAACAACATGGAAGAAATGCTGTTTCTCTGGCGACGGGGAGTACATCTGCGCCGGATCAGCTCGGCAACACGCCCTCTACATTTGGGAGAAATCCATCGGTAACCTTGTCAAGATCCTACACGGGACTAAAGGAGAACTGCTGCTAGACGTCGTTTGGCACCCTATTAGACCGATCATTGCTAGTATTAGCGCCGGTAAGTACTTCATTTTAAAATTTCTAACTGATGATGCAAAGACTAATTGTTACTCAAAGGGCACACTTAAACCAGTACATCTAAAATCTTTAATGGATATCTATTGGACTATTTACCTGTTATATTGTAACTATCGCAAGGCATACTAAAGGATGCGCATGCAGATCATGAGCTGCATGCACAGCTACTAATACCATATTACCGTTAACTTGAAATAAGAATAATATTTATTTCAGAAAATATTTCAATTTTGTTGTGTCCTGGACCTCACACTAGAATTGGGTACTTACCAAAAACGACAGTTTTCTATGAATTTTGTACGAGATTGTGTATTGTAACGTCACTTTTTTAGCGTCAAACAGCATACTTATTTCTTAAAAATTTGCTGGAAAAATACTAAAATTAAGTTGGTCATAAAATCAATTAATGAAAGTGTGATTATTTTTAATATTATACTGTATTGAACTGTCGAAATAATTTATTTTTGATTAAGGATAGTACCCAATTACCTATGTCGTGAGGCCCAAATAGAAATTGTAATCATGTAACCATTTAACACTTACAGGTGTAGTATCAATATGGGCACAGAACCAAGTAGAGAACTGGTCAGCCTTTGCTCCAGACTTCAAGGAACTGGACGAGAATGTGGAGTATGATGAACGGGAGAGCGAGTTCGATGTAGAAGACGAAGACCGCTCCGTAGACCAGGCTGGAGAGAGCCATGATGATGAGGAAGTTGAGGTATGTGATGTATGTATGAAATAGTAAACAGTGAGATGTACTAACTTCTTTTTATTTCTATTTTAATATATTTTTCCTTTTGGTGTGAATTGTAAATGATAAATGATATTTTAATATAACGCATCTTCGATATCAAACAGGTGGATGTAACTACTTGCGAGCCTGTAGCAGCTTTCTGCAGTTCAGACGAAGACGGAGAGGACGAACAAATGCTGTCCTTCCTACCCATTGCACCTGAAATCGAAGACCCAGAGGTAGGTGAAGCGATAGAAGTAAGTTATCAAAAATTACTACATAGTATAAATAAGTCGTTTTCCGCCGTCTTAAATAGATGTGTGTTTTTCTTCAACAGATAAAGTTTAAGAATAAAGTTTATTAACAACTCCGAATGTAACGCTTATAAAACCGCGGACAATAGCTAGTTTTCTATTTTCCAA